CTTCCTCCCCCCTACCGCCACCCCATGCACCACTCCAGCCTCCCGCCACCCTTCCCAAGACACGCTATTGCTCAACCGACTATCCCGTCGACGGATAACCCTCCAACCCCTCTTTTCCTAAACGCCACCTTCCCAACTCACCCTAACTAGTTATTTGTGTTTTTGTCATGTTTTTTTTTTCTGTCAAGTGTCTTTGTTTATAAAATCCTTTGAATTTCAACAATAATATTATCATTCCATTGTGATTTGGGTTAACTCCGGTATCATTAATATTGTTAAGAAATATATATAATTTCTTAGAGGGGTACAATATTTGGTTGCTAATGCAATTTTTAATATTGTTGTAGACATTAGTTGTTTCTTGGGCTGATAACTTTCTGGAGCATGCAATTATTTCTTCTCAACAATGTTCTCACAGCCTGAATTTTTCCACCAATCAACCATGAAATGTTCTAAATAAAGAAAATAAGAATCAATATGTAGTAGCGTAGAAAACAGGTTTTGAAGAGGAATAGTTCTCTTGATCCATTTTATTCACATGTATAGCGCGCGCGCACACAAATATGTATATATATATATATATATAGGGAAAAATAATTAATAAAAAATAATCTCCCTATATTTGAAAACCAAATAAAAAATATATAAGAAGGCTTGAAGTGTACTTAGGTTGATGTACCCTCCTACTGCCAACATTTTTCCTTAACCTTTATCATGCCACCTCTGATCATATGATTCCTTTTGTGAGAGCATATTAATTTAATATTTTATAAAAATAATAGTTAAATACCTTATTCACAGAAGGGGACATCTAACCTTGATGTATCATAAAGCACCAATCTTGATGCAAATCTCTAGTTGAATGCTTTGAAAAAAAATTATGTACCATTCATTTGCCCATCTCAGAAAGTTTATAATCAAACTGAATGTCTAAACAAGATGATGCAAACTACGCTAAAAACAATCTAATTATAATCTAAATGAGCCCAAATTAAACACTTGAAGTATAATTAAAAGTTTTGAATACCACCATCATTAATCATGAAAGTTGAGCAATAACAACATGTCAAGAGAAACTGTAAGAATGCTTCTAGAGTTTCAGAATTTGACAGAAAAGGAACAAGGCAAAAGACATACATAAGGGAATAAATTATTATATACTTACTAGCCAAAAACTATTATCAAAATTACATAAACATGCCAAGAATAACAACCAACTCCATGACACTAAATGAGTCTCTTCGGAGACGTCTAATAGAATAAGGATGACATGCATAAATCTAGAAATGATCCATGACATTACATGCCTATCACAAAACAGTCGTAAGATTACACGGAACGAAAATACATGAAACAATTAAACAAAATGCATAATGATATTTACACCATAATGCAACTTAACTGTTTACAACAGATTTTACAAATATTTTAATCATAACTTAAATTTGATAACAATAAATTTTCTAACAATTGAATTTGTCTTAAGATGAACATAACTGAGAAGTATAGGCTCATCTTACAACAAATCCCAAAATTTAAAAAATTCATCTTCATCAAATTTGAGCAAAAACATTCTGACTCAAAAAATTCTCCTTGATTGACAACCAATAATGATAGAAGGAACTTCAAAAATACATTCTTGCAGTTCCCATGAGTTGTTGTTAAAGTTAAAACATAACTATACAACCTGATTCCTAACTCACCTGCCCAGAATAGAATTTCAAACCAAATTGGATAAAAACTGATTTCTATGTTGCATCAAAATGTACAACTCTATCCTCTTGGCCGTAGAAACTAGCTCCTACCTCAAAAGCTGAGCAGTAAGAGAGGGAGAGGGAGAGGGAGAGAGAGAGTAGCATAGGCCTCCGAACCTAAAGCTAAAAATCTGAAGGCTTCTGCTTCTTAAGATGCTCAAACTTCTTAAAAATCCTTTACAAGGGGCCTTGGTAGCGCATAGGGATGATGGGTAGTTATACCTGAATGAATAGCACTTGTAACGTTATTTGGAGAGGCCGGCTGATGATAGTTACCCAAAGCAGACTGAAAACCATTCAAAACATTCATTGAAGAGCCAGAGTGAAAGCCATTTGTGGAATTCATTGAAGATCCTGAAGGGCCTGGCAGAGAATGATTTGAATGTGGAAATAAACTGTGCATAACCTCGGGTGCCGAGCGCGGCGGAAGCCGGACAGCCATGGGTTCAGAAGTCTCTGCGTGGGAGTGATTTAATTCACTGGAAAGAACATAATGGAGTTAAAAAGCTGACATTTTTTCTGTTGTTAAGATATTCGACTGATCAAAAAATAATTTTCTCACTGCAGGTAGATAGAAACTGAATCATGTTTTTCAGTTCTAATGAGCTGATTGCATTAGTAATGAAGCATACTAACCCATTGGCCGACTGTCTTCCCTTCATCGTAGGTTCGCTTTTTGATCTAGGTTTATCTCTCGGGCTGTAAGTGATCTCCTGAGGAGTTTATGTATAGCTTTTATGAATAAAATTAATAGATTAAGGTGTTGGAGATAAATTTCAGTGATCTGAGGCTTACATTAAGTTTGAGTCCTGCAAAAGCCTGAATGGAGCCATGGAGATTGTAATGGTTTGAGTTGCGAATAAAGGGGTGATCAAGTAGCATACTTGCAGTTGGTCTTTCTGCTGGGTTTCTTCGGAAACAACGCTGCAGAAAATCTTTACCCTCAGATGAGAGAGTCTCGGGTATCGGCGGATCTTTATGCAATACCTTGAACATAGCAGCAGCCTGGATGCATAAAGAGCAGAGCAAACGCTAAATATTGAATACAAAAATGGCAATCCAAAATTTAATGTAATTGGTAGGCTAAATCAAAAATTAAAATTATGTTTTGGGGCAATTACATACATAGCACTCGAAACATTGCTAGTAAATAGTGATATTCGGAGCCATACATATCTCAAGAACTCTACTAGGCATTGGTTCATTATTTTTGTTGATGATCATATCTAAGTATTAGCTATATTTATTCAAAAAATAAATCAAATATGAAACATATTCAAAAACTTCTATCATATGATCATAACTCAATATTTCAGACATCCAGATCACTTATTTTGATAGGGTCACCAAGTATTTCAACTATATTCTAAGAATAAACCTAATCAGAATGTTATTATTCATCAAGTTTATTGCCATAACACACTCCAACAAAATGGTAATTGTCCAAATACACCGCATTAAAATGGTATAGCTGAAACAAAAAACAGCATCTTTTAAAGGACAAGATCTACCATATTTATCACTAATACCCTAAACATTATCAAGGTAATACCATCCTTATGAGGTGTTGTTACCTTATAATGTGTTTCATTTTAAAATTCCGATCGATGGGTTTCTCAAATGTTTTCCAAATACATACTACTTCCAATCTACTTCTTAAGATCCGAGCCTAATAGGAATAAACTTGATCTCAAATTCTTCAAATGTATCTTTCTCAGGCATGAGAAAGTAAAAAGAGCATGCGTCCATGTTTGCCTCCTTTTTCAAAAACAAAACCATTTTCTATAAAATATTCACATCAAGAGAGATAAAAGATGAAAGAAATTGTAATAGTTCATCTTTTAAATTCATCCTACCCATAAATACCACAGAATGTCTTAATCTTCTCGTATCTGACAGTGTTGAGAATGTCAATGCTCTCATTCCTTAAAATATATCTGACCAACATGTCCATCACTCGATCCCACAACATTCTTCTAAAATTTACTTTTCCTCTCGAAGAAAGAATCTGTTAAAAATTAAAAATCTTCCGCCTCTCAAAGCATGTCATGAATTTTATTTGAAAACTCTTCTTCCATGTGATATTACCTCAAAATTATTCATTACTCTAAGAAAAGCTGCTCATGCATGTACTCAACATCATGAAGAAAATGTTGTGAGATATGACCATTATTCTTTTGATTAAACTTTGATCTCCAACTTAGTAGAAATTGAAATCCTAAAGACAATAAAAGAGGCCCTCAATAAACTAGAATAACACGAGGCTATGTAGGACGAAATAAAAAGATCCTAGAAAAAATAGAACATGGGCGGTCATTCAATAGCTCAAGGATGCAATTCATGTTGAATGTAAATGGTATTTACAGTCAAATATCAGTTAGATGGGCCAAGTGAAAGATACAAAACATGACTGGTTGCAAAGTTTCACCGAAATTTATAGGATTGGCAACATTTTCCTTCAATCCTACTAGTAAATTAAACACTATTCATGTCCTTCTCCCAATAATAGTCGACCTAGTCAACTAAATATCAAGAATACAATCTAAAATAGTGACTTAAATAAGTTTACATGGATAGGGATCATAGACGTCAGGAAGACAAATTTAGCATGCAATTTAAGAAAACGTGTTTATAGAACCAAATTGTCACCTAAAACCTGCTTCAGAAGGTTCCCCAAATGTATGCGTTAAGAAGAATTTAATAAGCTTGATCACATGTTGTTCTACATTACAATATTTTGAAGAAAGGATGATTGAGGTGTTCAAAATCAAAAACGTTGGCCCTCTCAGGTACTTTTTAAAGGAAAAAATGGTTAAAAATAAATATGCTATTATACATTTTTTAAGAAAAAACCATTTTAAATCTCTTAGAAGAATCTAGTTTAACTAGAGTAAACTTGTTGACACTCTAGATCCTAACACAAATTAATCGTAGCATAAGTACTCCAATTGATAAGATATCAAAGATTGATTGGAAAACACATCTATTTATCACATAACATAACTAATATTATCTTTTTTATTAGTATAGTAAAAATATTCAACAACAACAACACCACCAAGCCTTTATCCCACTAAGTGGGGTCGGCTACATGAATCCTTTTTCTCCAATGTGTCCTATTAAGTGTCATATTTACATTTAATTCTAATAAATAAAGATCATTTTTTATACATACCCAAGTCATTTTAGGTTTGCCTCTACCTTTCTTAACATAAGTTGAATTTAAAACATCTACTCTCCTATTCGGATCATCAGACAGTCGACATTTAATGTAACCAAACCATCTAAGAAGACTCTCTCTAATCTTGTCTGCCATTAGAGCTACACCAACCCTTTCACGGATACATTTGTTTTGAATTTTGTCTCTAAGAGTCGAGCCACTCATCCATCAAGCATTCTTATCTCAACAACATTTAACTTAGTTTTATGCTTCTCTTTTATCGGCCAACATTCTGCACTATAAAGCATGGCAGGTTGCACCACCATCTTACAAAATTTTTCTTCAATTCTAAACGGTACTTTTTCTATCACACAATAGACAAGATGCATTCATCCACTTCAACCATACAACTTGAATTCTCCTAATAACATCCCCATCTCCTAACCAGATATTCAAGTTAAAAAAAATAGAAAAATTAATGAGAGAGCAATTCAAGTGAAGGGAACCTAGATTCTAGATTAATAGAAGCTTATATTGATGTTGATTAGCTAGGCTCTATAATGTTTAGAATATCTATATTGAGGTACAACATTTATGTATAATCTTATAATATGGAGAAGATAAAAAACAAAATGTAAGTTGTGCTCAAATCCTTTCCTGATGGAATTCGTGAATTAATTTGGCTTAAACTACTAAAAAAGCTTCAAGTAATTATCAAGTCTCCTATGGTATTATATTGTGACTGAAGATCATGAGTTGTCGGTTAGCATAGACGAATTATTCTCACACTTATGTTCTGAAGAAACCACTCAAGCTACATAGGCAGCTTGTGATATTCAGTCAGAAAATTAGGATTCACATATTGCTCTCACCGTATCAAGTGATCGCGGAAGATGACACTCCAATCAGTCAAAGCTAAAACAGAGGAAAAAAACAAAATTTAGTTGTCACTCCAATCGCAATTCCATCAATCTTCCCGCACCATGTAATACCAAAAACCCACCAGTTAGCAAGCTAATGTCAAATCTACAAAAAGTTGGGTCACTCAGCATTTAAATGTTAGTACAGAGCAGACCTAACTTACAATCCTTCTTCAACTAGGTCCAACCCTACATTACAAGTTCTCTTAGAATAGTAGCTGGTACATAAACTCTAGCACTGTATCCCACCTCATACACAACATTGACAACATATAGAATCTCACGCCATACATAAGTCCCTGTTAAATCACCATTGGCAATAGATAAAAATTTAGCAATCACACACACCATAAATGACATCCTGCCCACCGCCTCCCGTAAAATGAAACTCTCTCAAAACTTTCATGTTCCCAAATTATCTCATAATCTCATTTCCATTGTCAAACTAACTAATGACAATAACTATATTGTCACCTTCAATTCTGATGGTAACCTTATTATGGATCAAAACTCTCATATGCCACACCTCTTAGGCTCGACATAATGGACTATATCTAACCAACTTAAAACCTCAACTACTACTATCTCTATAGCTAGAGCTCTCCTCACAGCTCACTCCAACACTGTCAAATGGCACAGTTATCTGGGTCATCCTCATTACAATATTATTTTCTATCCAAATTACATCCAACATAATACTTCTCAAATAATAAATTTCAAAATACTTATTGTAACTTAACAAATAGGCACAAATTATCATTTCTGATGATTAGGGTACTTACCACACCATCTCTCAACAGGATACAAGTATTATGTCTCATTTATTGATGACTTCGGAAGGTTTTGTTGTGTATTCCCCATGAAAAATAAATATGAACTTACCTCCATCTTCATCATATATAAAATATAATGAAAAGACAACCAAACCATCGCATCAAAATTCTCCAATTTGATAAAGGTAGAGAATATCTTAGTCACAACCTAAGAATTCAACTAAACAAATGGGAATCATACATCAAATCACTTGTCCACATACTAAAGTGGAGTCACTGATTGCAAACATCAACATCTCATTGAAATGACCCATAATTTACTTCTCGAAGCTGGTCTATCACATTTTCTATGATTGATTCTCTCCTCACAACTACCCTCATCAAATACAAACATTCTCTCACCCTATTATTAACTCCCTCTATAACAACACCTGACGACAATCACCTCAAAAAACTTGGAGCATGCTATCCTTGGATAAAACCCGACTCTAAAAACAAACTCTCCCTAGCCCTCAACAACGTGTCTTCCTTGGCAATAAAGATAACACCAAATGCTACAAATGTTTTCATCCTCCGATAGGCCAAATGTTCATCTCCAGGCATGCAATTTGTCACGAAGAGCTTCCCCTACCACCATAATGTCCCTTCATACCACCAATCAACCACTATATCATATATTCCACCTCTACCTCTTGTTCCACTCTCAAATACCATAATTATACCCCCTCAATCATCCATCATCACTTAAATACTCCCTCTACATCACCAACATATAATCAAACTACGGTTTCCCCATCTAATTCCTCTAAATTATAGGTCCCTCAAATATCTCCAGGGCTTAAACCCGTTTCCCTCACTATCCCTCTCACTCCAACCACAACTACTTCACCTTCAACATCTCTTCGTCACCTGATAATCACCAGGTCAGATAGGAAGTATCAAAACAAAGCAAATTCTAGACTTGGCCCATGCAATCCATTATCCACCTAATTCCGCATCCTACACTGTTACCATAAAAAAATGAAATATGGTGCAAGGCTATAGTTGATGAATTGCATGCCCTTCAAGTTCAAGGCACTTAAACCTTTGTTCTCCAACCACCACATGATGAGATACTAAACTGCAAATGGACCAATAAAACCAAATTACAATCAAACAGTTCCATAGCTCGTTACAAAGCTCTCCTAGTTACACATGGCTACAAGCAACAATATGTCATTTTAACTATACAAAAATATTCAGTCCAGTTGCTAGAATAACCATAATTCGTGTCCTCTTTTTTGTTGCTATCTCTAACACAACTCAATGTTTCCAATGCCTTCCCTTCACGGACATCGTCAAGACAAAGTCTACATGACCCAAACTCGAGGGTTCATCGACTACAATCATCCTAATTATGTCACTTCCACAAAGCCATTTATGGCCTCAACAAGCACCAAACTAATGGTTTAAAATTCTCTCCCAATTACTAGATGGCCTCAGGTTTCATGCTAGCTTAGCTGACCCCTCTTTCATGATATATGATTATGACAACAAAATTATATACGTCCTCATATGTGTGAATGATCTATCAATTATAAGAGACAATCAATCTCTCATCGACAACATTGACAACACACTTCAATCCCTTCATCAACAGCTCCAAATAAGAAACCTGGTACACATTCATTACTTCCATGGCATTGACATTAACCAAACATCCATAGGCATAACCTCAATCAACCTCACTATACTATGGAAATATTTTGGCGAGAAAGAATGGCATCCTGTAAACCAATCCATACACCAACCATAGCAAAAGAATTACCACCAACAGTACCTGATCAAACGCTCACCTATATCGACACCGGTTCTCTTTAGCATCTAACCATAACTCGCTCAAATATCTCTTTTGTCATTAATACAACATCACAACACATGTACAAACCCTATCAATCCTACTAATTATATCTTAAACAACTATTTCGATACATTAAAGGAGCACTATCTTATTGCCATCCTATCAATGCTACCGATCTGCATCTACCAGCCTACTTCAACTTGGACAAGCCCAACAACACCAGTGGCAAAAAATTCACATTTAGTTGTATGTTTTTGGGATCAAATCTAATATTTTGTTCTAACAAAAAACAACCTACTTTCACCGGTTCATCTTCTTAAGCAGAATACCATGGTCTTGGCTCAAATAGCAGCGAAAATCATATGGATAAAAATTCTCCTACAGGAATTTCACATCCTAACATCCAAAACAACTCACTATATTGTGACAATGTATCAACACTGGCTCACCAACAATCCAATTTTTCATGCTTGCACAGAGTACAGAGATAGACATCACTTCTCCCGAGATTGCAACAAAGCAGAAATAATTGCAGCTTATTATCTTCTGTCTAATGAATAGTTGGATGTTGAGCATCCCAATTATCTTTCACAATTCATCCAAAACATCCAGCCATCCAACTAAAACACACCGCATTACCAGCTCAAGGAGATCGTAACTAACTCTGCCAAGAATATTCCTTTTGTCCCCTATACACCTCCATATTAATCTGCACAGTTCAGTAGCTCATAAGCAGCAATTAATACATCTCGGTTAGTCTAATTTCCTCTCTTCCAATAACTTTCATATCTCTCTCTTCATTTCATGCTTTCACCTTTTTAATTCTCTGTTTATAAGGCCAAATTTTAGCCAATTGATGCAATGAAGGATTCCACTCCTCTTCTATATCTCTTTTCTAACATAAATACATGGACAAGATAAGCCAGAGGAGAGATGATCCATACTAGAGGCTATGTATCATGAAAAAAAATATATGTACAGTCATTATAGTTAAATATATCAATAAAAAAATTTATTGGCATGATAAGTAGATATTCCAACAAAAACATGTCAGAAAATGGGTTCAGTTTAATAAACATTACAGTAAATGTAGCTGATTTTGAAAATTAAAATTTCCAAAAAAATATGTGAATAAAACTAACAATAAATTAACTTCATCAACTTCACATTGAACCAAATTCAGAAAATTTAGTTTAGATACAAACATTTTATCTTATATAAAGTTTTTTCAGCCTACCGTCTAACTCCTTAATGCAGAAAAGTTACTTTGAATGCAGCCGAAAACCAAGTTCAAATATTAACATCAGAGGTTTAGAGAATATTGCATTGTTGTGCAGCTACTATTAAGAATATTTTTGTGCAATACTTTTAATTAGATAGTTAATATAATATATTTTGTCCATAAAAGATGAAGGCACCAAAGTTGCATGTATACAGCTTTGCTAGAGATTCAATTGCTGAGCTTAGAGAGTACAACAGGATTACCCCCTCAAGTCCGCTCCAAGGATGTTTCCCAGTAAACATCTCAATAATTGTACAACCCAAGCTCCAAATATCAACAGCGAAATCATAACCAACATCCTTTGACATTGTAGCTTGTACAACCTACATAAAAAGATGGGAGAAAAAGTTCACATAATACAGGTAACTAACTTGATTGAAGAACTAAATCTACTGAACCATAAATTCTCATGGTATTTCATCAAGTTTATCAATATCAACCAAAAAAAAAAGGCATGGCATCTCACTGAAGCCGTTAGATCATTACAGGCAATGCTAATTTAAAATCATGATTTCCCCCATCACCAATGGAATAACAAAGACAAGGCGGGAAACCAAAGATTAATAAATAAAATATTAACTATTAGATCCTAGTTTCTAGACTTTTTATGAATAAAATTTATTCAGTTTAGTATAAAGACTCATTATTTTATCATCAAGGGCTAGAAATTGGTAACAAGGCTCAAAGTAAAGACATGACTCCTACACAAAAATTGCTTGCATTTTTATCATCAAAATGATCCTCCAAGAAGCCAATTTAAGAGTTTTCAAAATTCATTTATGTAGACCATTTGCAAGAATTAGATTGCCGCTTTCTCTAGATTCTCCTGTTAATATTGTTTCTTGCTCACACATAATAAACAAATAAATATATAATTATTATTGGCTGGCCTGAAGCACTAATTGAATTTCCTCTAGAACATTTCATAAGTCCTGGGTTAGAGTCAGGTAAATAGCCTCTTTGCAAACATATGGCTAAGGGTGTGCACAACTTCCCAGACCTTACATGAGCAGAAGCTCCATGCACTGGGCATGCCCTTTTTATATTATTATTTCATCATTTGGAACACACTAAAATTCTTAGCACTATAATATGGAAGAATTTGCAACTTCTTTGCCCTTGAGATATCCATTAGTAACATAAAACCTTATATATCTACAAAATGTTTGTTTATGGAAGCAATAAGACAAGGGTACCAACTCAGTCTAACTGTTCCCCTAAAGGATGAAATGAATGTTATCAGGAGGGGAGTAAAATTATTTATGAAAATCCTCTGATTCAAGAAATAAAATTAAAACGAAGCATGTAATAATCATAGCTACAATGAGAGATGTAAATAGTATGCATATCGCAAGCATACCTCTGGAGCCATCCAGTATGGAGTACCCTTTAAGGAAAGAGCAGGCGCAGCTCTACTTAACTGAAACAAAAAAAAAAAAAGGAAAACAAAATCAAGTCACAGATGCATATTCAGATTAATTTTCTGTAATGATACGAACGATAACTAATATATAATAAAGTAAGGCAAAATTTCATTTCAATAAATTCAAATAATTGACACAAAATAAAAAGAAATAAAATTAATCAAAAACACTCATTTTAATATAATGTATGTCTCTTACATGAAACTAACTGCTTCCCACAAATATGTGATAAATAAACAGAAGTCCCATAGAAAAAAATAATAAAAAACTAAATAAATAACGAAATTCTGATATGATATGTTCTTCCACCCGTCGATCGCCTTTCTAAATCACATCTAGCCTTACTTAACTTTGACTTTGCAATTATATCTGACCAATACATATAAGAGAATTAATTTTCTAGGTTGCCAAATTTCACTTGCTTACCCCACCATACATCGGTTATCTTTCAAATGCAACAAGTAACAGAAGAAATCCAAGAATCACATACCATTCTAACTCATCAATAAATAAATAACAATTTATTGTTAGTCATTTTAGTCGAAATTTGTATGTTATGTTGCCGTTTATTTGCCAAATTAGATTCTGCAACATACAAACAAAGGAACTAAGGTTTTACTCTCCCCTCTTAGCTCCATTATGTATGGAGTTTATCTCCTTGTAGGTTGATCTGTGTCTAATAGCTTCTTCCAAAAGTTTTTGGTATGATTGTGCATGCAATTTTCCTTCGAAGAACAGAATTTTCAGGCAAGCTGATCATGAAATAGTGGTATTCAATGAAGCCCAATAAAAACCTTCTATTTAGAGATCATTCAGTATCCCTGTAACCTGCTAAGGCTATAATAACAAATTTTACAAATTAGTACTATTTCAGCTACGTAAGATATTAGTATAGTGAAGGTCTTGATACTATTAGTCCTACGGATGAAAATTGCCTATGTCAGGGTTCAAATATGCTTTTGTTTGTTATACAAAAGGTACCAGTATTCATGATTAATAAAATAAAAAAAGCAAATAATAAGTATAAGGTCTAAATCAATCTATATCATTAGAGTTGTGCAAAATTAAAATATGACTAGCATTTACATTGAATTATTTATATCTAATATTTATTCTGATTTTAATTTAGTCACCATCCTGTTGCATTACCATTTATATTATGTGGGTGTGCGTGCATGTCAGTGCCTGTAGATGGATAGACAAATAGATATTTTTATGAGGAATTCTAATATGCATGACCATGTTTCTACAGAATAAAAATAGATAATATTGACTTTAGAAACAACCAATAAAAATTTGTTTAGTCATGTCTAGAACAACATTCGTTTTCCACCAAGTCTGATGCATGGTTAACTAGTCATAAGTTATATAAATTCCAAATTGTTAATCCCCGGTTATCTCAGAGGAATGTGCGTCAAAATCAACATTCTTGACTTCTGATTTTGAAGACCCATTGTCAAAATCTAATTGAAGGAATGCAGCTTTCTATAACTAAATTGTGTACACTCTCTCTACACTCACACGTTTCTCAAAAGGCATACAAGCAAAGTAATTAATATGGCCTTCCAAGCACTCGCCACAAGCGTTATTATCTTTACAAAAGAAAATATCAATTAGATGCACGGAAGATAAAATATCATATAGATACACTACATACCAAGCACAAAAAAATTTAAATGGAAGGAGACAGCTGATGAATAGAGAAAACAAGAAACTGCATCCATGAGATAAAATGGAAAAGGTGATCTCTTTTCCAGTGACTATGAAATGAACTAATTAATTTTATGAATATTTGAAGCCTATTGAAAAAAATAACATGGTCTCTAAGTTGAGTTGACATAAAATCAAGCTCATTCAAATGAAAACCAGATGTAATGGAGAATGAAACAAAATATGATAGATTTCAAGCCAGAACCTTTGTGCTACAAAAATCTTTGGTCAAAGGAGTGCCATAGATAAACCCAAGTTTGATGTCCAAAAGGAAAAGTAACAGTTGTGCACATCATAACCAAATGAAACCACACTACTTTTGAATATAAATAGGGAATGTAAAATAATTAAAACTGCAACATAGTCTTTTCCCAACTGTCACAACTTAATACAATCAGCCTTGAATAATGCATGTATCCCTGATAACTGCATCCACAAAGATATTCCACAAAGTGCAAAATACACGATAGATAACTAAGACCTTTTTTTTTTTTTGTTATTTTAGTTGGTTGAGGGACATTTTGGGGGTTGCACATAACTTCATGTGAAGTAAGAAAATAAACACTCAACTGTTAAAGAACCTATGGAAACTGAACAAAAAACGTCCATGTGTTTGAGTCAACATTTACTGCAGATATAATCCATGTAACAAAACGCTTTTCTCCCGAAAAAATTTACTTCTTGTATCTCTGCAGTGAACAACACACAGTTGACCTCTAATAACAAAATAAACGCAGGCAAACATACAACCTCTAATAACAAAATAAATCCAGGCAAACATACAAGACAGCATCACAAATCTTCAAGAAATTCCAAAAATAGCCTACTCACATGTTTCGCCATCCCAAAGTCTGCAAGCTTTACCACACCATTGACATCAACAAGTAAATTTGCACCTTTGATGTCCCTGGAATGATCAAATAAATCAACATGACACTAGAATCTTACAATAAATGGACAAAACATCAACATCTAAATTGGTAGACTTAGAAAACAAAACAGTTATAGAGTAGGGAAAAAATATCAAAAAATTTCCAGTCAGCAAACAAAGCAAACCAATACTCATCATCATCATTAGCTTTCTCCTATTTGGGTTTTCTTTACAAATCATGATTTTCTATTCATTCTTCTAACAATACTTAACAAACAGCCAACATACAAGATAAGTTACTACTTAATAGGTGTGAGGACTAAACTCTTAATTCAGTGATTTCTTTCCTTATCTTTATCTATTCTACATTTTGTACATGTTGCTTAAGTGAGTGAATATTCTGGGGAGATAGGTGTGGTAGAGAGATCCCCCATTTCTATTCCCGTGCCGTTAGCATCTCCAATCCGAGAGTTGGGATGACTCTGTGAGTTTCGATCCGAAGCGGGATCGTAACAGACCGGAAACCCTTGCTTGTGGACCAGCTGCGGAGCTCACCTTTGTTTTGTTGATTTAGGGGTTGCTACCAAGACGATTTCTTTAAGCCCATCAAAGGACCTTGAGATGTTAACCCACAAAAAAATATATGAGAAATGCAAAAGAACTCAAGTGCTCCACTAGGGTAACCCGTAGAAATACATCAGTTTCTTACTCGTGCAAAGGAACTATTTCTTGGTAACTTGAACAACCTAGAACGATGTTTGTCCCGCATATCATACGGAAGAACGGGATCTTGACAAAAGGCTTTATAAAGATTTCACTTATTTGACATCTTACTGAGTTTTCCCCTCATCTTTTAGCAGAAAGCTACTCCACGGTGGTAAAGCCTCATCTTCTGTTGGCCGAAGTGACAAAAGTCACATTGAACCCTCGATAATACTCAAAGATTTAGTTAAATTTCATACAATCAGGTTGGTTTGATAGAGGTGTGATCTAACACATGAAATTTTGTGATATCAAACTTATATGTTAACTATCAATTTAGTTGCTTTTTGGTTTGCTGAAAAGAAAATACAGTGTAATTGAAATACAATATATTTTAATAGAAAAACATCATTACCATAATTGTTAAATCTTAGTAGTTTCAATTGAAACACAAAACTATCAGAACGACTATTAGTGAAAGAAAAAACCTGTGGATGTTATCTGTGCTATGCAAGTATGCCAGCCCTTTGAGAATATGGCGTGTGAAATTACGAACAACAGATTCTGTCATAGCTCCACAATGTTCTTGAACATACTTGTTAATTGAACCAGGATATACATACTCTAGGAATATGTAAAAATGATCCTCAGTCTGCATAAAAGTACAAAAACATTCAACTTGTAGACCACTGACAAATATCATAGCATAAATATGCAAACAGACTCACCAACTCACTGCCATAGTACTGCACAATGTTGGGATGCTTCAATTTACTAAGAACCCTGATTTCCTGTAAACAGACCAAAATCAATGAGAAGCTGCTTGGACGTAGATAATTAATAAAAGATCAGGGAAAACGCATATACTTATTTTGCACAAATAAATCATGCAAACATAAATTTCAAGATAAACATCATCAAATTAAAATCCATCATTTATGTTCAAGAACATAAATGATGGATTTTAATTTGATGATGATGATGTTGTTGTTGTTGTTGTTGTTGTGGTTGTTGTTGTATTTATGTTCAAGAACATACCTAAACATGAAATAAAAATGTACAACAACAACAAAGCCTTAGTCCCACTATGTGAGGTCGGCTACATGAAATAAAAAAGTAATCTAGAAAAATTCAAAGATGTCAAACAGAGAAGATGCAACTTCAACTAAGTCCTAGCACTTCATTTCTGATAAAAAATAAGATAGACTGCCTCAGATTCACAAAAACTTGCAATCAATTAATTAATTCTAAATCCCCAGAATGACATTTTAACTCATTAACAGTGTTTTCTGATTAGTAGTATTTTTTCAAGTTTAACAAAGCTTTCCTTGCCTCAAAATGCTTCAAGTAAACAAGCCACAGCAACAGCTACTTGAGAATCTGAAAATAGCATAAGGAACTAACCTGTTCCAGTTGTTTCAGACACTCAGCAGATTTAGGGTCATCAGGGATTATATTTACTTCTTTCATGGCACATAAAGCACCCGTATGCCTGCTCAAGATCACAGTAATGGGGATAAGAATGTGTACAAAAATAACAAGAAAGGATGATATGAAATCCATCATGAAGTCCTCTTATTCACCTGTTGGTAGCTTTATAAACATTCCCAAATGTACCGCTGCCAATAAGTTTTTGTTTCTGCCACTGACTTGTCATCAAAGCCCCCTCATTTTTTGACACATTTTGATGAGAAAAACTAGACTGCACATGAACAGAAGGTCCCGGAGGGAGAGGCAAAGGGTGGACATTCATATTATTGTCATGCCATGCACCAGAACCATCTGAATACATCTTAGGATGAAGAGGAGATTGCGGCGCACTTGGATTTTTTGACATTGGAACAGAACTTTTAATTGCTGGACTATATAACGGTGATCTATCTGGACTGCTATGAATTTTCTCAGGTGATGCCTGGGGAGACATGCTTATCATCATGTCCACATAAGGGGCATCAGGAGCAAAACAAGACTGCAGCCCTTGCGAAACATTGAATGTAGAATGGAAAACATCAACATTACTCAATCTCCGAGGACTAAGCGCAGGACTTGAGAAGCCACTCGGTGGAGCACTTTTAGCAGGTATGTTTAACCTAAAGGTTACACTTTCAGGAGACTTCGGATCATGAATTGCCTTTCTATGACTACTAAAATTCCATCCCTTTTTTGGCCGATCAATATGCTCTGAACTCTTCTGAGTGTTATGACAAGCTTGCCTGCTGCAATACATAGGATGCAGAATTAGCAGGCTTACTAAGCATCATAAGATCCAGAAAGTGGCAAAAAACAACATACCTTCCAGCTGCAGCAGGAACCCTCTCCCCATTCACCTCAGTCGTTATTGCAACAGAGCAATCCACCCCGCTACCACTTACCTCCTCCAGCTCCAATCCCCCGCCCTTGGGTGACGGCAACCGGCAACCGGCACAGGTGCTGCCCGCCGTACATATCCCATTATTATGCAGCTGCTCCGGCAATGGCAACGGGTGAAGCACGGGCGAGGACGATAACCGCAGGGGAACTGAATCAAGATTACTCGGCGACCTCGACACCGGTGTAGAACTCACGGCGTTCAGAGCTGCAACACCCACCTCCGCAAAGGGACGCAGCCTGCACTGCCGCTCGAGCCGCGGCCGTGCAGACTCCCCGCGCTTGCTCCACAAGAAAGCAGATGATTCCCTGCGCGTGTTCTTAGACGGCGACGCGCCGGCCGAGGAGGACAGTCTTTGTTTCCGATCCAGGGATGATGCAGAAGAGGAAGAGGAAGAGGAAGAGGATTTCCACCAAGGCATCTCCAGGGGACGAAAAGGGTAGGAACAACATGGTAGAGAAGGGAAGGGTTATAAGGGAAGCATATGATGAAGATGAAGAAGAGTTAACCTTGATCGCCGCCGGCCATCTTACCGGTCGTCGGCGACGGAGCTGTGGAAGAGGAGAGGAACGACCGACCTTTGTTGTTGATGCGGTTGTGAGGTGTTCGTTGGGGATTTGTTGCGATGTGGTGTGCGGAGAGAGAGAAAGAGAGCACGCGGCTTAGAGGGTGAGGTCAAAAATGGGAACCTTCCTCTGATTGGGATTGCAGAATCCATGATCGGTCTCTTGGTTTTCAACAATGGCCGCCCCTTTATTTATGAAGGGTGACGATAATATATGTATTAATGTTGATTTGGTCCAATGCTATGAATATTTTGGCTTCATAAATTTCATAACTATTTTTTTTATTTTTTTTGGATATAATAACTTTGAATTTAAAGAATAAAATGGATAGCATAGGAGATATAAGCTCTAAAAGTTTGATTTTTACTTCTAATACTAGTGCCATAAATTTATATATGAAAATATGTGTAGTGATATTTTTTTATATGATATTAAAGATTTGATTTTTATGTATGTATAAAAGTTTAGATGATAGATATGTAAATGCATAAGTGATGTTTGCTGGAAGGTTTGTGGTGGTAGAGTAATAATTTGAAGTCTTAGCATTGCATGAAAATCTAGCACACACTCATATAAAGAAGAAGTAAGCAGGATGAGACGGCTTGATTTTTACATGGGGCGTAACCAAGTTGAAATAATTCACTATGTATTTGTGAGTATATGGGTCCACTCTTTTTCTGAATTAAAGAAGACAAAGTTACAAAATTATACACACATTATTTCATCGATGATAGTTGCAATGTCGCTGTAATAACTTAGTTCTCAGTGATAGCAGACTACAAGATTGTTACTAGTTGTTATTGAGGCAGTAGTCTGTCGTGAATGTTTTAGGTAGCGGCTCAGCTTGTCGTAGAGATCATAGTATAAAGTCATTGAAATAGTTGGTTATGTGGGTCGTAGATGATTGCTTCAGGAGTGTCGATTAGCCATAAAAGTCACAATAATGAGATAAAATAGTTGTGAGCCACGTAGGTCACAGTTAGTCATATAGGTCATAATGGTGAGTTATGATAAAGTTTGTATGACTTAGAGGCGGAGTTAGGAGTTGCATAAGCTGTGATAATGTCAATACGTCATAGAAGCACGAGTTTGGACCTGCACAGCTTGTAGATAAGGTTTGTAGGCCCCATAGACCAGAGTTGGGGTTGCATGATTTGAGATAACATTCGTAAGCGATAAAAGCCACAGTGGGGGTTGTACGGGCTATGATAAAGTCTGAAGGCCGTGGATGCCAAAGTTGGGAGCTGCATGAGCCAATATAATATTTTGTAGGTCGTACATGTAGAGGTTGGAGTTGGAGGTGCATCAACCGAGACAACATCAATAGGCCAAAGAGACTAGAGTTGAGAGCTGCATGAGCCAAAATAACGTTCGTATGTTGCATAGGCTGAAGTTGGAATCTGCATGAACTATGATAACATTTGTAGGTTGCATAGGCCAAAATTGGGAGTTACATGAGTTAAAATAATGTTTATAGGTCACAGAGTTGAGAGTTGCACGAGTTGTGAATCACATAGGGTGTAGTTCGTCACGTAGGTCATAGTGTTGAGATGTGAGAAGATAACTTCAGGAGTTCAGAGGAGGTCATCATATTTTGAGTATGACATGTTGTTGGGTGTGTCTTTGCACCGTTTTCAAAGTGCATTAATTCATTGTATTTATGGTTCATGGATACAACATTTTTAGGATGCATTGTCTCATCATATGCGGGGCAAATCGTAGCAACATATCTGGGGTGCATTGTTACACCATCTTTGTGTTCATCATTGCACCATCTTTGAGATGCATCATTACACTACATGCAGGATGTGTCATCGCACTGTATTCAGGTTGCGTCATTACAAAGTATTTGGGTATGTTGTTACACAATCTTTGTTATGCATCATTGCATAGTATGCGGGGTGTATCGTTTCACCATATGTAGAGTGTGTTATTACGTAGTCTTCAGGTTGCATCATTGCACATTGTAAGGGATGATGTACTAACTCACTGAGTGCTCACTATTTCGTAACATATGTTGGGATTTCACAATGCATGTTGTGACTCTGCAAGGAATTTTACCACATAGAGCACGTGACAACCAATGGTGGTTGACGATAGTTAACAAGCAATAATCAATTGTAGTCAACAACTATAGGAACATGAAGCATTGGTGGATCTTCAATGCAGAAATTACACTGTGTTTCAACTCATTCTTTCGGTCTTTCTTCGAACTTAGATCTTGGTTCAAGTTCGTTGTCAAGGAAGGGGTAAAGTCTATTTATATAGTCTTAAAGATGCCTCCTTGAAAATAAAAAAAAGAATACACTCTACTCCTTCAGAGACGTCTGAAAGAGGTTCTCTTAATCGGACAATATTTTGTTGATCTTTAAGTACTTTAATAATGTTAAAATTGAGCTAACACTATACATGCAACTAAAATGCCAAGGGGTAGTAATGCGACACAACAATAAAAACATGCATACTAAATTTTTTTTTCACACATCGCTCATATTAACAATCAAATAAGCAAACATGTAATAAGATAAATTGGATTTCCTTCCAATAAGGGCTTAGTTTAATGCATCAACCTGTTTGAGATATGTCTATTAGTTGGGATGACCCAATTCAATTATCTCCTTATGTTTTTATTTCTATGTTGCCACCAAGATATGATTTTTCGCACATTAAATTTAAAAGTCTCGGAATGTTCTTATCCTTTCTATTGATCCATAAGGAACCCCTTTAATTACAATGAATGAACCTGATCACCTGGACTTCAACTTCCCAGAAAATAATTTCAATTTTGAGTTAAACAATACAATCCCTTATCCAGGGATAAATTCCTTCTTATTGAGTTTACAGTAATGTCATTTCTAGTTATTATAAATTTTAGATTTTTCATAAGCTTATAATCCAAGCTCATCCAATTCATTCAATTGTAATAGCATTTTCTCCTTTACATCTTTTTAATAAAAATTAAAAATTTTAATTGCCTAAAAAGCTTTATGTTCTAATTTTAGCAGCAGGTGCAACGCCTTTATATAAAACTCTTTATGCCCATTGTTTTCGTTCATTTTTCTCTTTTTTATTTTAAAAGGATTCGTCAACCTGTCGATCATCGTATACTTCACTTATTCGAATAAATCTCCCTCCTGAATCAGATCAGTGATTCGAAGAGGAGAGGAACCGAATAAGAAGGGACATGCGACAAAGCGACAAACAAGACAAAACACAAAATGTGGAGAGCTTACGTTCGATAAACCTCGCAATGATAGGTTAAGAGTGTTCGCCCAAACAAGATCGGGCGAAAGCATCTTAAACTGATATCCGCGAAAGAATAACTACGTAGACTACCCATAACCAGAGAGTCATGTGTAGGTGTCTGTTCTCAGGTCAAGAGCACTCCCAAGGCGACGTATCCCACATGGTTAATTACATCTTGAGGGGTACCCAAGAATACTTTTGATAAAAGGAGTTTCGCTTGGATTATCGTGAACCTGGGGCAATAGGTATTCAAAGGATGGTTTTTACGTGTGGGAAAAGTCTTGATGCTTTAAAGCTCACGCTAAGCCAATCGGGCAGAGACCGAGTCTCTCACATCCCAAATGAGTGGCGGCTCATCGACACACGGGGCCCATGGAATAACCTAAATCATCTTGACGGGGATATCCCAACACGTCAAAGCACGTCCGGGACAAAGGGCAGAGGACAAATCATCGTATCCCAAATGGATGATAGCTCATCGGCATCAGGTCGTCAAGGTGATATCAACAAAGTCAAAGAGTGACATGGCTCAAAGGGGCTCAACAATAGGAAGGTAGAGTGATCCTAAAAGATAGAGGTTACTGCGTCGGGATACCACAAACCCGTCATACACAACTACTAGGACCTTAAGTCAACCTGGTCGTGAAGGTAGTCGACCCAACACATCCTGAGATCCCCGGTCAGCAATCCGTGAATTGTGTCGTCCACGGGAACCTCGGTAGCCCTAAGGTCAAAGGAAGGAAACTCTATCCTATGACTAAAAGCTGAAGCTACAAGAGGTGAGACTTATACCTCCCGAACTGATAAGGATTCCTCAGGAAGGAAAAGAAAGTGGAGGTTCAACTACAAAGCTGGAAACACTCCAAACAAAAGGACTTACACCCCGTCTGGGTCGGGGAGCCTTCTAACACCCTAAGCGCATTAGACAACCACCTAAAAAAAGATATGATATGACAGTCAAGTTGAAGAAGCACGAGGGCTCCTCCTCGGAACATGCAAATATGAATGCAGTTATCTAAAGCAGTCCTTAAGTATTGTGGATGCCCTATTAATATAAGCAGAAAAATAAAAGTGAAATTTTTAAATCCTGGATATTTTAATCCTAAATTTTAATTATCTTGAATATTTTATTTATGATTTTTGTAGAAAATTAGGAATTTAAGTCTTAAAGAGCCTATGTTCCATTGTGAAATCCAAGATAAATCACAGAAAGAAACAAGGAAAACACATACAAATGTGCAGGCCTACAATATGATGCAAAAAAGTAAAGCAAGCCAAATAAAATAATAAACATGCCGGTGTTGTTGGGTCGACAACATATCCCAGGAAGGAAAAAGGCGGTCGGACTCTGCATATACATGCCCGACCCTAATTCTATACATCAATATAAAATAAAGAATTAAGATGCGAGACACGAACATCTATACCTGATCCCCTCCATATGGTTCCCGCGCTAACGTCTCGGAACTTCCTCAGAACTTGTGCCCGTATCTTATTTCTGCTACAAGACTCTCATAGACTCTAAAAGTACATAGAGCAAAGAAAAAGACTCAATCCTGCATGAAAATAAATGTTAACGAGAAAGCTCACATGCATATGACACATAATGAGTCATGCCTTAAAAGTGGGGAGCTAATAGCATCTGCAAGCAAAATGGTCAAAAATCATTACTTGCTCCCCCCATAGCGGTACCTGTGTGTGTGCATATAAATAGACATGACTCCTTGCAGAAGAATGCCCTAACACACTACCATACATATGCAACATGCAGTCACATCACAAGCACAATGCAAAAGAAAGATGTCTGGCTAGGGCAACCAATCCAGCAGAGAACAATAACCAGACATAAAAAGACAACCTAAGCACCCTAAATCCTAGCCTAGCACGCCATCTAATGAAAAGTGTGTCAACCTAGTATCTAAGTGCG